TTGTACAGTCTTATAACTTCTATAGTAGGGATTCATGGATCATCCCGAACTCTAGTAGAATTATCATTGCTTACCAGTTTGCAAGGACCTCTTCTCATGAGATCTCTTGTCTTTAAAAGTTTATTCCATAATAATGAACTTTCTTTATTCTGTTTGGTTGGTAAAAAGCATGCATCTTAAAGATACTTTATTCGTATTAGAGTTATCCAAGATCTGGTTTTCTCGTTGATCAACTGAAGCAAGCTTAGACACTAGAGATATATTGAAGTCCTTGATGTCTATTAATGTCTAGTAGTGTCAGTTATTTTTGTTTGAATTGACAATATAATATAATTGTTTATTTGAGCAAACTGTCTATTTTACCACTGCTTTATTGTATATAATAATAAATGAAAAAAGAGAGAAAAGAATAAAAAAATATGTAATATTAAATATAGAGATATATAAATATTTCTAATTAAATATATATATAATTAAAGATATATTTATATATATACAAGGAAATATATTATATACATATATATAATTAAAATATTACATACATGTATATTTATAATTAAAATATTATAAACATGTATTTATATATAATTAAATATATAAATACATATATAATTATATAAATTTACGTATACATATAATTAAATATATAAATATATAAAGATACAATAAAATTGATATAATTAAATAAATTATATACATATATATAATTAAAAATATAAGTACATAAATTTAATTGAATATATAAATACATATTTATATAAAAAATACGATGCCCAAATTTAATTTAATGTAAATTAAATTAATTTATAATTGTAATTTTTTAATTTTTTAATTTTAATTTAGTGTGAAAATGAAAGAAATTTGATGGATGATGAAATTGAAAACGATGTTGGAGAAAATAAGTGAAAATTTGGGTTCTGAGAGCATTTTTGAAAGAAAAATTGGTAAAGTAAGCGTCAAAATGTAATTTAGAAAATTTGTGCCACGTAGGATGTCCGGTCAGCAACTCCGACGAAGCAGAACGCGTCGCGTGGCAACGAACGCTGACGCGGTGCCACGCAGGAGGCCATGTGGGCGATCCACGTGCCCGCAATTGAACAACCCAGATTTGTTCTCGCGCGCACAGACGACCTAGATGCGTTTCCTCCTCAAACGCGATCGGACGACCAGATTTAAACGCGATCAACGGTCCATATATGTTTCTTATTTAAATACGATCAGACGGTTTAGATTAGATCGCGATAGACGATTTAGATTCACTCCCTATTTAATCGCGATCGGACGATTTAGATCAAATACGATGGATAGTTCAGATTAAATATGGACAGATATAAATAACCCTCTTTATACCAAACCCTAACCCTAGCCGCCAGACACCTTTGCCGGAGAAGAAGACCCTGCTGCCGGGAAGGAGAGTCGCCGCCACTCGCCGCCACGCTGGAGAGCGCCAAAAGAGGTAAAAAAAAAAATTTTACTCGAAATTCAATTTTAAACATCCCTATGACCAAATCAAAGTGAAAGGATCGGCCGATTGGCTGAAAATCGCGGACAAAGCCGGGTGGGCGGCATCGCCACATGAAATTTAAAAAATCACCTAAGATAATACCCTTCCCGATTCGCGTTCTGCGTAATTTTTTCACCATTGTTATCACCGTTTCCTTCTCTACAGGTTGACCGAAGTAAAACACCCAACCACAACGTGAGCCGGAGGAGCTGCTGCATCGGATAGCTCCGCCGCCGGTGAGTTTTGATTTTTTTGTATTTTTTTGGCCAACTAATACCCCTTAACATATTTTTCTACAGGGATTGATGCAAAATCGATCGAATTCGGCTGAAAATGGCCGAAAACAGTTGATCCGAGGCAGACCGCCGCGGTGACGGAATTCTAAAATTGGCCAAAAATGGGTCCTGAGACTGATTTTGGGTTTTTGGGACATTGGTAGGTACTTATAGCGCGTTTTAATCCCTGAAAAAAAATTCATGGAACTTGGGGACCGCCAGTAGACGCAATCAACAGCTTAACTTTTCGGGCATCAAATTGTGTAAGAATCTCTTACCCTATTCTTTGTTATGGAATTGAAGTCTAAATAAATAATAATACGGTATTTTGTGTAATTAAAAAAAATTCATAATTAATTACGAGTTATTTATGGAGCCAGAACCGAAAATCATCTATTGTTGATTCTGTTGAATTATTTTACAGTTAATTGCATGATAGTATTTTATTGATCGATTTTGTAGTTTTGAATGCATGTATTGTTTGATTTATGTAATTACCATTGAATTGAAAAATGGAAACTAAAAAAAACGAAAAATTGTGTGATTAAATGAATGGAAGAAACGACAGCTTTACTAGATATTCTGGAAGATTGTGGACGGACCGGGTTCAATAGGAAATTCTACTGTAAACGTTATCTTATATCGGACGGAGTATTGAAACTTGGTAATTTAGCGCTCATACTGGACGGGATATTCAAGTTTAGTAATTTAGTAGTCGTACCGGACGATATATGGAGACGGCCTGTTAATTCATAATATTAAAAGAAATGATTTGCGCGTAGTGGAAACATCCCTATGAACCCCCATAGATACCAGCAGGCTGATGGAAAATGATAGTTGTTGTTTGATTTATTGAATATGGATTTATAATGTGTTCATGTTGCCAATTGAATATGAAATCATGATAAGTGCTATCTTATTGTTTATATAGGTTATTTTGTAAATCTCACTATGGTAAGTAGATTACAAAAGATTTTGTTTATAATAAATGAATTTGTTTAATTAAGTACTCCATTAGTTGTTTTGATTTTCTACCAATATTTATTTATATGTCGGTGAGTAGCGTAATATTCTTACTGGAGTAGTGTAGCTCATTTCTTATTTAACCATTTCAGATTAAGAGAATCAGGATCAAGACTCCGATCCACAAGAGAGTTGCGAGTAAAATGCTAGTTTTATTTATTTTTCGTTTATTTTCTCATTTTTTTGTATTCATTTCAAAAGAGTAATTCCAGTAACACTATTCGATACTTTAAGTTATTGTGTAAGGAATGTAAATATTAACAATTCATTTTACTTCTGCGCTTAATTTATAATTTATAATTTATTTTCTTTCGATATTCTAGGGTCGTTACAAAAAATATATATATAATTAAATATATAAACACATATATAAATATATATAGAGACAATAAAATTGATATAATTAAATAAATTATATACATATATATAATTAAAAATGTAAAGATATAAATTTAATTGAATACATAAATACGTGTTTATATATAAAATAAATATATAAATTTATGTATATATAAAAAAAAAATGAATAAGTGGGAAATGTTTGCATGCAGGAAAATGCCGGAGAGAGAGAGAGAGAAGGAATTTGTGTATGTTGGAGTGGAAGCAAGGAGTTATTGTTATAAAATTTTCATGATACAAATGGTACCAAGTTGGGGAAATGGATAAGTATTGGATTGAGTATCAGATAGACCTGAGAATGATTTTGGTGAGGAAAGTCTTTGAGGAAAAATAAGAAATTTATCTACATCTATTTCAATTATGTTTGCTTTAAGTTTAAATTGACAATCAATTATACAGATATATCTGGTCGAACAAGAAAAGTCAGAGAAATGAAGAGAGAAATCAATATCTGCTACTTGATCAAACAAGAGAAGCCAGAGATAAAGGTTGTTTGCGATGCACCTCTTCAGTGTCGGGTTTAGAAGAAGAATAATAATAAACCCTAGAGAAGTAAAGAAGAAGAATGATAAAATGAAAAGTAATTTAGTAAATAAGAAAAAATCTTAAGGGTATAATTAGAAAAAATAATCGAATCATCATAAAACTACCGAATCAATTATTTGAAAAAATGAAAAAATCATGGTATTGAGGATCATAACTCAATCAGTAAAAAAACGTATCATGTATTTAGAAATACAAATAAACAAAGAAAAGATGAAAAAATCATACCGTTTTTATTGAACCATCATCGAAACAAACTCTAAATAAAAGCAATGTTTTCCCAAAAAAAAAAAGGATAACCAAAATTTTATTGACAAAACAAAATGGTATTATATACGTATCCACACACATGTATGTGTATATATATGGCCATAAAGAAAATGCATGCATATGTATGTAAGAACAAAATTTGGGATGCATCATAATGAGGACCCACAAATGGGCCTCTCGATTTAATTTAATGGATCAAATGCATCGCATCAAATATAAATAATAAATTTAATGAAAGAAATACAACCCACCAACTTTGGATCCCATGTCGAGTCTTAATGGAGACCCCGCCATAGGCCCTTTAGATGAAATCTGGTTGGTCGCATGTTTCACATATGAAAATGGAAAAGGATGAGACAACCTCTCACATCTCTGAACAAAGGGAGCCCATGGTGGGTCATAGCAAAAACCCACCACGGCCGAGAATACAACTGGGTGGGTCGCTAACTCGCCATGACCCACCCCCGTTTATGTGTATATTTGTTGTGTATTAGTTATAGTTCGCCTGTAGAGACCTGCTATTGGGGGATCTAATAATGCACGCACATGTACGAAGGTAACATATATTTTCTATTAGTTTGAGATACATAAAGGTATGACTAAGATGAACAAAATATTTGAGTTTTCATTCTCCATCTACTGCTATATATTAACTGTTAGCTTCCATTTACTTACAATCGAGTGATCATTCACCAACTTTTAATTATATCTATTGACTACAGGCTATTGATTATCATATGCTAATTTTCAATATTGCTACCTAAATTAATGTCATCGCTTTATCGAATTATGTTTTACTTTAGTCACTTTATTAGACACGAAAAATGTGTAATCATTAAATCTTTTCAACTTTTTAACTGCAAATATAATTAACCAAGAAAACTTTACATGCTACTTGAGTTTTATCTTTTTAAGTGAGGTAATTCGATCAGGGAGGTAAAATCCAGAGAACTATATTTACACGGCCATCCAGATTTCAAGTGTTCGCATATTCATGCTATTTTGTTATGAATTTGTTATATAAATACATATGAAGTGATGAAATCATTATTGTGTAGTTATATTGATCTTGAAATGCATAAACGTATGAGCAAGTGGCAAAACTTGTCTCATCAAAAGCAAAAACGAAAAAGAAAGAAAAAAAAAAGATGTACATTCGTATTAGCAGTTAAGTGTGTATTAAGAAGGTGAAGGTGATCATAATTAGGGTGTCAATGAATTACACTATTAAGCAAACTGTTGGATGAAGGTGAGCTTTGTTCACTTGACCATGGATCTTGAACAGAGACAGGTGAGTAATGATCCAGTGAGTTGATGCTACCATCGACAGGAGTACTCGGAAGCATAAGCTCATTTCTGTCATGATCTGTTGCCTTTACAAGATTGATCTTTAAAGAAGGTACTCTCAATGATCTGCTCCCCATGATCTGCTCCAGTTCTCGAGCAACTTCAGTCATGGATGGTCTCATGTCCCTATGAAACGCTAGGCATCTAAAAGCCAACTCGGCTACCTTATGGATTGAACAAAGTGTCCAATTAGGATCAGTTTGTAGGTTGAGTAAAGGGTCTATAATTTCACTCAGCTGCCCTCTGCCAATCCTGTCGGTAGCCAGAGCGGCTAAGTTCACTTCATCGTGCGGCCTGGAGAAATCAACCACTTTCAGTCCTGATATGATCTCAATAAGTAGTACACCGAAACTGTAAACATCGCTTTTATCGGATAGATGGAAGTTTTGGTGATACTGAGGATCAAGATACCCAGGTGTGCCTTGCGGGGCAGTTGAGATATGGGAGATTTCAGTTCTACCAAGTCTTGAAAGACCAAAATCTGCAACCTTGGACCTGAAATTATAGTCCAGGAGTATGTTGGTGGACTTAATATCTCTGTGATAAATAGGAGGGTGAATAGCAGAGTGGAGATAGGCTATGGCTTGGGCAGTCTCTGTGGCTATAGTGAGTCGAACCGGCCAGGTTAATCCATTACCTTTCTCTCCTTGTAAATGCTGATACAATGTGCCATTAGGCATGAACTCGTAGACGAGGATTTCTTCCCCATTTTCAATGGAGCAACCCAGAAGACGAACCAGATTTGGGTGATTAACCGAAGAAAGCAGCTTGATCTCATTCATGACTTGCTCCATGCTGTCGGTCTCTCCGTGTTTCATCCTTTTGATGGCAACCCATAAATCGTTCTTTAGTTTTCCTGCGTATACTGTTCCATAAGCGCCCGTTCCAAGCCTTTGCTTATCTGAAAAGCTGTTTGTGGCTTTCTCCATTTCTTTGTATGCATAAATGGGAATGGTGATGCCCGCAGCTTCTGCTAGACGGCGTTTGGCGGTGTGGCTGGCTTTTATGCTCCATTGACTTTGAATGAAACAGCAAACTAAGCTCATACTCACCATCAACAAAGCTCCGGCCAGAACGCCTGCAAAATGTATTGGGTATTGTTTACCGAGAGGAACTTTATAAGTAAATTTATAACTTTAATTTTGTGAATTTTGAGGAATCTGACCTCCAACTAAGACACCGACTCTGGTTGTTCCTCCACAATGGCCAGACAAATATCTTGCGGGGTTACAATGTGAAGAAACTGTTGACAGCAAGGAGGAGCGTAGAGAGTAGAATTAGTCGGACTGTAATTTTCTCTTTTTTCAAAAGAAAAAGAAAAGTCAACAAGTTTGATTCAGATGCCAAAACACAATCTTTTCTCGTGATATTTTATATATGAGAAGATGGGGCTGCAGTACATTTAAAGTCTATATATAGTCTACATATATATATATATATATACACACACATATGTTCATCACTTGTTTGGTTATATAATATGCCTACAACACAATATTATATACATAAAACATATATGTTTTCTTCATTTCTTGTTAATTACGGAAGGGTTTTTTCTTTTCTTTTTTTTTTTTTTGGTTTTTTAAGCGTCACGTCTACTTAAAATTCGAATTCCACAAAACCCACCTAACCCCGACTATTACAAATAGATTTTATTTATGATTATGTTTATCTATCTATATATCTATATATATATATATATATATATATATAGTAGATGAAATGAAACTAAACTACCCATTCTAGGGCACCTTAAACTCCTGAAAAATATTCAAAGTAAATACATACATATATAGTGAATGAATTCACCTACTCCCTCTTGCTAAATTTATGGGTTGGGTTCCATAATTTCAGGGTATGCACCAGAGTCAATGCGATTAAAATTAGGTAACACTAATTTCCTTATTAAGTATATCATTTAATTATATATTTTCATATATCTTAGTATCTAATTGAACTATATCACGTGCGAACAGAAATATACATACTAAAATTCTGTATTTCAAATTAAATGAATAGTCAGCTTGAATAATGAATGCACCTTTCTTCTTTCTAGACAAACCAATCATGGTAGATAAGCCTTTAATTACTTTTCAAATTTAACATGAAGTTGACGAATTGAATTTCGTTATAATTCATTTTGCTCTAAAATAAATTTTAAGTAAACAATTTGGGTTAATGATAACTACTTGCCTTTCCGGCACCCCGAACCGGCTGCGAATCCATCTCCGGCGAACCCATTATGGCACTGGCACCGAAATCCTACTCGTCCGTCGTGCGGCGTAAGCATCTCCGTACAATTAGCGTTCTTATGACAGTCGCATTGCCCGTCAAGCCACCACCCGAGCTCAACCACCTGGACCTCCAGGAGATCAGTCTCATTGAACGTCTCGGCGGATATGGAAGACAAGAGAGACCGGCAGTTAGTGCCCAACACTTTTTGAAAATCGATAAAGCCCCTGAGCTTATTATCTTCCGTGTAACAGCTAATGTTGGCCCCGCTGGGTTCGTCGCAAGAGAGGGTCTCGAAGCGAGTGTAGACCATGGTTGAAGGTATCAAGCAGGGCGCGGGAGAGGAGCAGTTCTGCAAGAGAATGGCGTTGCGGGAGGTGGGTGCGTAGTTGGGGCCGTAGAGACGGTGAAGGGCTAAGAGGGAACGGTGGCATGTGGCTTGAATGAAGATCTTGATGGTATCAGCGTTGACGGATTGCACGGGGAAATCGCCGAGCAGGATCTGGCCGTCTGCACTGCAGTTTAAAGGGATTTGGCAACCCGGAGAGAACCCAAATGGGTATTGAAGGAGGTGGTCGCCGCACGATATGTTGCACTTAGTTGCTTCAATTCTGATCACAGGAAGATTCACCAAGAATAATATCAGTAATGAGAGAAACAACACCCGTAATTCTCTTGTGAAGATCATGTTTTAATTTCCCAAAACAGAGAGCATTATATTGAAGCACAAAAGGCTGAAGAAGGCAGAGAGGTTTTTAAATGTCAATCTGGAGTTGGAGTAGATGCAGAGACTTGCTTTATACCCTGAAAAGATAGAGATTTAATGAATAAGGATCAGAGTTTAATTTCTTGAAAAAGAAGGATGGTAATTGAAAGAGATTTAAGAAATAGTTGTTGATGACATTGGCATGGAAAAAGATGAACTATGGAATCAACTACTGTAATTGAGAGAGAGAGAGAGAGAGGCTTTTGCCTTTTTCTTTTCACGTACCCTTCTTTTGTCTTCTTTAATTCCTGTTTTCTTCGTTTTATAATAATCCTGATTGATTGACCAAATTTAAATGGCCTCCCAGTATGAGAGGACAAAACACCCAACATTCATATTTCTTTCTCTCCCAACTAACAATTATTCGTTTCCTATTTGAATTTTTTTTCTTAACGATACATTTGGAATAATTCGGTTTTTCTAAAATAAATACTAACAATAGTAATGAACTGGGTTAATGAACTATTGTAAAATTTAGCCATCAAAATCTGTAATTTTTGAGGAAAAAAATACGTCCTCCATTTGTCGAAAAAAAAAAAAAATCTCAAATTTAAGAGACCAACTACCTGAAACAGTATTTACTGTTTGCGTGGATTATAAACACAGATATATATATATATATATATTGTGTGTGTGTGTGTGTGGGCGTGTGCTTTGTTTGGGTAACAGCCATGGATTCTGGTTTCTGTCGTATCTGCAAGAGGCAGCATTGTAGCGTCAATTATTACATAGGCGCTTCACTCGTGAGTGGAGCTGCGCAGGTGATCAGTTGGTTACATTTTCATAAATTACTTTGAAACTATTTTTCTACACTACATGTATAATTACATGAATTGAATTGCTAAAACTGATTATTCCTCTTCATCATAACTTTGGTATATATACATCGATATATATAAGGGAACAAGCAGCATTTGGTGCAACGGGGTTAAGGAGAACAGACAGAACTGTCCCTTCACCGTCCCCATCAGCCTGTTTCCCCTTTTTCTTTCTCTGGTTTTACTTGAAAATTTGTTTCTAATTCCTAAGACCCAAATTAATTATTTTCCTAACCCAAACACAAGAAGCACTTTCAAGTCCAACTCCAAAATCCAACCCAATTTTCATCATAAAATGGTCATTTGTGTGGTTTGAATACACAGAAGCAACCTCAACTCAAAAGAAATCCCTTTCGGCCCGGCCCACGGGGGCCTCCTCCACGCTTCCCCAACGATGTCGGAGAAGAAAGGATCACGATCGACACTTTTGATGACAGAGATGGTCTCTGGCAGAGAGCAGCAGTCGAGAGAAGGAGACAGAGGGGAGATGGGGGACTCACGTTGATGATGACTGATCGAAGAGAAGAGAAGAGAAGCAGAGTTTACCAGGTAAAAAGATTTTCGAAATCGAGCAAACAGAAGAGAGGAAGCTGGAAAGAGGAAGAAAGAAGGGGTCGACGGGGGAGGATTTCAGGTTTCTCATTGTTATTTGGTGAGAATGAATAATAATAAGAAGAAGTAGAAGTAGTAGAAGAAGAAGACGAAACAGAGCCTCGGATTGATGAAGAAGAACAGTGCTCGATAAAATGGAGAAAAAGGAAGGGTTTAAACCGGGCCTCGGGTCTCGGACCCGGTCTAGAGCCTTGGGCTCGGATCCGGGCTCCGTATTTGGGCTGAGGCCTTGTTCTGCGGACCGTTAGTTAGGCCGTAGGCTCGGGCCCGAACCTTGGGGCTCGTACCGGGTTCGAGCCTTGAGTATCGGGTCGGGTCTTGGGCATCCGGCACGTTGTTCACTTGCCAGTTGTTTTGGGCCTTGAGCCTCGGGCTCGGGTCTTGGGCTCGTCCTCGGTCTTGGACTTGGGTCGGGCCTTGGGCTCAGTCAACATTAAAATAGGTGTCTTATCATTTTCATCTTATTTTATTTTTTAGCTTTCATTTTTTTTTTATTAAATTACGTTACAGTTTCCATGAACCAATGAGCATAAATATACACTATTATCTATATCATATATAAATACCCATTTGTGTAGAGTATATATATATATATATATATATATATATATATATATCAATGCAATAAATATTAGACGTAGATAATTTATTCTTCAATAAGAAAAAATTAGAAAATAAAAATTAAAACATAAACTAGAAAAAAATAATAATCTTTTTAACTTCTCTTCCGGAAGAAAATTATTACAATACTCAGGCTCTCTGTCTATCAGAGTACTAATGCAAATAGCATATATACAGTTGTATGCGCGCGTAAGAGTACATGCATATGACTAGGGAGCAGCAAATGCATCGTCCACCCACCTGGTGCAAGTTGCAGGGGCTGTATCTTCACTGGAGGACAACTGTCGGGTGAGGAGAGGGCGGAGAGCCGACTTGACCTTGTTAACGCGTTGGCGGCGACGAATTCGGCGCAGAACGACATCCCTGTCCAGGCGTTGCTTGGAGTGAATGGGCTTGATGTAGAGATGGCTACTAATGACAGAGGCTAGGGTTTGTGAATCGTCTTGGTCTTCAATAGAGGTGACATTGTTGGAGCAAGTTTTGGAAGGAGATGTGGCCACATCCATATCAAATAACTTGTGCAATGAAGTAGCTAAAGACGGAGATACTTATGGTTACAGTAAGTTTGACAAGTAGCAGTAAGGAAATGGGAAGGTTTAAGTGGGAATTTATAGAGGTGGTGAAATTGGTATTTCAAGGATTTGGTCGGTTTTGGAAGTTCGAGGCTGTCTCGGGCTTGGCAGTCAGAGGAAAAAAGTAGAGAGTTTTCTTAATAAGGAGGTCGGTGAAGTGTTGCTTCCTCGTCACTTGTTCTCCATTTTGTTTATGTCTTAAAATGAGATTCTCTGTCGTTGCCATGTGCTTGGAATGAAGTAATTAAATTACACTGTTTCGGAATTTTGAGCTAGGCCCATTTATGGGTCATGGGTGGATATAACTCAGGCCCCAATAACAAGTTATTAGCCATGGACTCATGGCAGCCTTAAAGACAAAGTAATGCATTTGAGTTTGGAAATTCTGAATTTGAGTTTGGTTTCCAAAATCAATTATATGCAAAGAAATTTATATGGTCCCAATATAGTAACATAACATATTATACCCATATATATATATATATGTGCATTAATTATCATCACATGATTTCCAATATGACATGTCCTCCTGCAAAAAATTTCAAGAGTCTACATCACCCATTCAACATGCATACATCACTGCTATCCTTTCTTCTTTACTTGTTTTTACATTGTCATAGACCTTTAACTGCTGATTGTTACACATAACATATAAACTCAAAATTTAAATGATCACTAAAGGAAAAACAAAAAAGAACAAGCAAGAATCGACTGTATCTTCTTTCATAATCATCATGCCGACTGATTTGTAAGTTTCGTTCAATTATATAATCATGTCTTCATAATTAAAATGACAAACTGGCATCACAAAAAAGCATATGGGCCCTCTTAATCAATTTAATAAGAAAAGAAAAACCCTCTAACAGTCAACTAAATCCATAATTACGCATTTCCTATCATGTCCCTGGTTCGTTAAAGCTGGTTGCAAACTGAAACCCGATCATTCTCAAAACCTGAAAAGCGATTCATCGGTTAAAGGAAATCCAAAAGCCTGCAAAATTTCCTCTGCTCCCAATTGTTTTCTTCCCGCCGATCCTGAGAATACAGATGCTCTCCGTTCCTGTTGACGTCAGCGTTAGTCGACGCGCCACACACAGTGCCGCCGAGAGAGTGGTAGTGGCGGTGAAAGCTGAAAGAGTGATATCCAAAGCTGCATTAGCTTGGGCTCTCACTCACGTCGTTCGTCCCGGGGATTGCGTCACTTTGCTCGCTGTCTTTCCCGGAGAGAAGACAGGTAATTCCTCTAAATTCTCTTTCCTTTCGCTTAGAATCAAAGGTCTCTTTTCTTGTCATTTATGGGAATTCTTCTTATTTTCCGGACGAATGCGAGAGTCTGACTTACAACTGATTTGAGAAACAGGTAGGAAATTCTGGAATTTCCCGAGGTTGGCGGGAGACTGCGCTAGCAGTCACAGGGAAAACTTGCCGGATCGGATCTTTCAAATCTCTGAGTCTTGCTCCCAGATGGTACTCCAGTTTAATAACCAGGTCGAGGTAAGCTCAAATCGCTAAACTTCCTATCTAGTACATTCATTTTCATGTAATTTTCTTCGGACAATTTGGTCTCGCTCTTCTCTCCTGTTGATCTGGGTTTTAACGGACTTGTTTGTCTCGTTGCCTAAAAATGAAACAAGTAGCTTTGCAATTCGCAGCGCCTTAAAGGGCAAAACTGTGGGCATATAATACCTGCCAAGAATTAGATGATGCACTGTTCTCTTGGGTAAAAAAAAAACAATCCATTAATATGCTGATAATGTTTCGGATATTAATTGACCTGTTTGTCAGAGCTCGGAATCTTCCTACCCTAGCACCCAGGCAGTCCCTAAGATCTGTTGCCAGATGCAATAAAGTTAATTCAATGATTTGAAACCTGTTTGGACGTTGCGGGTGCGAAGTTGCATATGAGGACAAAATTAAGCTATGCCCTGTTTGGACTTTAGGTCCATTCTTGTTGATAAATGTATTAACAAATTGTTCTTCACTTCATACCGACATGCCCCACATTGACATAATTCTTGAATTGCTCGCACGTTCCATGTGAAATGGTCTAGGTGATTAGGACCCCCATTTCCTTTATTGCTCTGGTATCATTTTTGGGTAGCTATTTCTCGGCAATTTGAGTAATGGGGTAAATACAAAAGGAGTATAGTTTTTTTTTTCGTTCATTTGTTTATCTTTGCTAACGACAAAATGTTGATTATTATTGTAGGTGAGAGTGAGGATAAAGGTGGTGTCAGGGACATCTGGCAATGCTGTGGCGGCCGAAGCAAGCAGAAACGGAGCCAACTGGGTCGTACTGGACAAGTAATTAAACATAAAAAAGTGTTAGTTCTTATTTCTAAACTACCATTAGTTAGTCGGCTGGTCAATAATTATCTTTTCTCCCCTTCAACAATTCCCTCATGGTTCCGGTCATCATGGTTTTCTATCTATTACGCGGTAGTACGCTGCTGTCTTTGTGTTGATTTTTTATCAAAAAGGTATTTAAGGTCTACAAAATGACTGACTTCATACTGTTCAGGCAAACCCAATGAGTATAATAGAATTTGGGCCACATACAAACATTGTAGAGGGCAGCCAAGCTGACAAGTTTTAACTGATCAAACCATTACTACTTACCAGTTCAGTAAACGTGATACATTCTCACCCAACCTTGCAAATGTGCTCTTGGTTATCCAAGTAGGTGTAGGGAAATTATTATTCAGTCGTCATGTTTAATGTTTCCATTATTGCTAGATCAGGTTAATATTCTGAGTTCTGTTAGCAGGAATATGCTCAATTGATATTTTCAGATTGTCATTTTGTCTAACTGCGTATAATTGCAATGACAGGCTAACCAATCTAATCAGGTGACTATTTGGGTAGGTACTGGTGTCAGGTTGTGTTATCCCATAATTCTAAAATGGCAGATGCAGGTTGTTTCTTACTTGCTAAATTGCCGTAGCACCTAAGTTCACTTAATAAACTAAGAGTTAGGTGCGCATGATGTCATTGCACTGCTCCTTCTTTGTTCTTTGTAACTTCTCGTGGACTGGAATTTAGCTCACATACACATTCATTACCTTGAATTTCTTTTTATTTACCTACAGCAATCAACCTAGGTTGTATTCCAAATGCTTGAAAGTTGTTCCCTAACTTATTGCTGATGATGGAATTGAATAGAAAATTAAAGCAAGAGTTGAAGCACTGTATAGAGGAACTTCGCTGCAATGTTGTAGTGATGAAAGGCTCTCAAGCAAAAGTTCTCAGGCTAAACTTACAATGCTCAACAGAAATCCAAACCCCATATTTCAGTGCTGCTTCTTCACCGGCTAGGGACGATGAAGAGTTGCAGAGACAGAGAGTGAAGCATTCTACTCCAGTCAGCAGCCCCGAAGAACCAAGAACTTCCCATTCAAGAACCACTATCGAAAGTTCACTATCATTTTCTGAGACAATGACATCTCCTTTTCTTGTCTATGAACAAAATCCCCTTTTTGAAGGATTGAATAAAGGATATTACACGTCAACAGATTATCAAAATGACTTGAATGATGCAGAAATTACTCATAATGTTAAGAGCGAGAAGCTTATCACTTTATGCAGAAATCCCATGCAATCTGGAGCCACCGCTGACAAAAATGTACTTTGGATTCCCCAAAACCATGTTATTGATGAAAAGCCCCTTGTTACCCAAAATGCAATGAATAAAATCACGTCTTCAACTTCCAAAACTCTGCTCGAAAAGTTTTCCCAGTATGATAAAGATCCAAAAGCTGATGGACTTGAGCTCAGCCAGATCCATCACAAACAATATATTGTTAACTCAGGCATTAGAGATGCAGTCTCACTTGGTAGGACATCCTCCATACCTCCTCCCTTGTGCTCATTATGCCAACATAAGGCACCAATTTTTGGAAAGCCTCCCAAGAGATTCTCTCTTGAGGAACTAGATGAAGCAACAGAGGGATTTTCAGATATGAATTTATTGGCAGAAGGGGGTTTTGGCATTGTATATAGAGGGGTACTAAGAGAAGGCCTGGTGGTGGCAGTGAAGGTATTAAAGTTTTCTGGCCCTCAAGCAGATGCTGATTTCTGCAGGGAAGTGCGAGTTTTAAGCTGTGCGCAGCATAGGAATGTTGTGTTGTTGATTGGATTTTGTATTGACCGCAAGAGAAGAATCTTGGTTTATGAGTATATATGCAACAGCTCTTTGGATTTCCATTTACATGGTATGTTTCCTATCATCTCTCTTTCTCTTTTGCCCAGTGATAGAGTAAGATCTATAAATATCTATTCCCATGGTTCCTTGGCTTCTATCTTCACAAAATTGTCTGCTTATATTCTGCATTCCTGATGTCCGATAGTTACTCTCAGTGAATGACTTCGATTGCACCTACTATATGATTGACAGGAAACAAGAAAATCAGTTTGGGTTGGCAGTCTAGGCTAAAGATAGCAATTGGGGCAGCCAGAGGTTTACGATACCTTCATGAAGATTGTAGAGTGGGTTGTATTGTACATAGGGACATGCGCCCTCATAATATCCTCCTAACTCATGATTTTGAACCTCTGGTATTCAATCTAAAACTTCCCACTTTTTTGGAGCTTTATACTTCTATTATTAAGTTGGTCATAGCATGGCAGTTGGATCTGCTTTTTGAACAATAGTAATTAATTTCCACATCCTCTGGTATTCAATCAAAATGAAACGTGTCTACATCATTATGAATTTTGTCTAGAAAAGGCATGTGATTAAATCCTTCTTTGATGCTCTAACTGGTGAAAAGAAAATTCTCTCCATGATAAAAGCACATTCTTACCCCTTCAAAACACTACATTTCAGATATAGATTGAACGCTTTGTAATATTATATGCCTCCTAAAGATGAAATACGAGCGTTTCTCCTATCATTGTCTTGATGATAATCAGTTATGTACTAATTTTCAATCACCTTTACATTTCATTAGGTTGCTGATTTTGGACTTGCTAGGTGGTACTCTGAATGCAGCATCGGTGGGGGAGAGCAAGTAGTTGGAACGTCAGGGTACTTTCTATATATTTTGCTAGTTTGTCTTGTATAATTACATCCACAGTTGAACTTTTGAGTATCTGCATGCTAGTGCTATCTTTACATGATGGATTTTTTAATACTCTTAGACAGGAATAAGTGTCAAAGTTCCAATAACAAGTACTATAGATACAGTTAAACTAGTTTCTTTACAAATGTAGTTGCTGAATCATAAGTTTCAACTGAATGTTTAAAAGCAGGTATCTTGCGCCAGAGTATTTGAACAGTGGAATAATCACACAGAAAGTTGATGTTTATGCATTTGGGCTTGTACTATTAGAGATAATCACAGGTCGAAAACCTAGCGAATTGCAACATTTCAGGGAACAGCATTTCCTATCTGATTGGTTCCACCCTCTAGGTTCTTTGCAGCCTAACCACATCTTCACCAATATTTATAAATTAATCGATCCATGCTTGGCCGGTGATCAAATCCAAAGTTTTGCTCATCAGCTACAAGCAATGGCGTTTGCTGCTTCCTTGTGTCTAAGTCGTGATCCAGAGTCCAGACCCCTAATGTCAAAGGTTTACTATTTATCCCGTTACATAATTATCGATTTCTCCATAAACATCCAGGCATTCAAAGAAAAACTCTTTTTTTGGTTTTGTCTTTGTTGGTTCCAATGGTCATTACCCCTGATTGAATCAATTTGACTTTTTTTTTTTTTTTTTATCTATTTTCAGGTCCTTAGAATACTTGAAGGGGGAGATACATCTATTCCTCTGGCTCTGGACTTAAATTCAGCTGGTAACAGAAGTGGTCATTTGTGTGGTTTGAATTCACAGAAGCAACCTCAACTGAAAAGAAATCACTCTCGCAAACTTTCTCACTAAGTGTCTCTGATACATGGTTTTATGGATCCACTCTGTTCGTAAGTCCATTTCCTGGTTTGCACTTTTGCATACCTACGAGTAAATGACATTTTCCTTTTTTTTTTTTTCAATTGTGCGTACAATATCGAATAATTTATTTGTAAACATCATTTTTATTTTTTCTGTGTGCAAATTATAAGTGTTAGTTTGCGTCGCAGAAAAAAAACTTGTAAAACTACTGAAAGATAAATATAAGTTTTTTATTATTTTATAATACATGCATAAAATAATAAGTTTTATATTTTTAGTAAACTTCGAATTCTTAAACAATTCATCTTATTTTGATTAAATTCATAGTCAAGACTGATTTATAAAATTTGAATGTATGACAGGACCAAAGTTGGGTAATGAATTTTAGAGATGCATAACTTCATTATTTGTAATTTTGGAAAATTTTCTCAAACATGTCTGCTTATATTAAATAATAAAAAATATAGGAAAGTGAAAGAGAGAGAGAGCCGGGCATAATAGAATCAATATCATAAACAATCAGCGTAATTGATGTGAATTGAACAGTTTAATGCAACATTAAAGACAGAGAAATTTTAAAGGCAAAATTATGTGTACAGATATAAATTGTAGACGCCAATTTTGTGCACACCAACAACATAAGTTAGTTTACATGAAACAAAAAGTACATTCCAAATTTCCTCACGGGTTCCTGTACCAGCAACCCTTCCCCCCCTCAACCCAGAGTATACTGCACCATCATGTTCATCTTCCACTCCCAAACCCACTACGTGTCGCATACCATAAACTTGTTTTCTTGTTTTTATTTTATAGAAAATAAACATTTTTAGTTATACACGACCCAAGATTAAGACACGCATTCATAGTACCTTCGTAGTCGATATCAAAGGAATTGCGAGTCCCCAAAGTTCTGAGATCAGCGCCTTCTGTGCTGGCTAGCTCCTCCTGCAGAAGAGAAACTCCCCACAGACTGGAAGGAGTCGCCAACAGAGATCACCGAGTGATTTTGCTGCTGCTGCTGCTGCTGTTGTTGTTGTTGCTGCATCATCGCCATTGCATTCATGTCAATTGCTAACTCTGCCACGCTCCAAACTTTCACTGACTTATCGAGGCTTCCACTGTACACCGTCCACCGCTGATCGCCTTGAGACGACCCAGGGTCTGCCTCCACTGCTAAGCACTTCACTGGTCCAGTGTGCCCTGTCAAAACTGAAAGACAAGTGTGTATGTTTCCCTCCTTTCTCCAGACACATATCGTCTTATCCGCCGATCCGCTGAATAACATACTTCCGGCGGCCGCAAGGCAAAGCACAGCCAGCTTGTGTCCAGTTAGCACTCCCCCGTGTGACAACTGTTTCTCTCGTTCCCAGAAGTTGACCATCCCGTCACTTGACCCGCAGTACACCACCGAACCATTGCTCGTCACTGCTAGAGCCGTCACCGCACACTCCTGCTTCAGTAGTGTCTGGTTAAGTGAGTGCTTGGTGTGCTTCCCTTGTTGCTCCCTCTTCCACACCTTGACCGTACCATCAGCTGATCCTGTGAATACCAACCCCTCTGTACTGGAAACTACACAGTTGACGGCGTCTTCGTGTGCGCTAATAGACTCGAGGCATTTAGAGTCGGAGATTCTCCACACCTTCAAGGTTCTGTCCCATGAAGCTGAGTACAGAAGCCCCTGATCCCCGTTCAGGCTCAAACAAGACACTGCATCCGAGTGTTTGATCCACAGTGCAGTACGGTGTTTTCTCACCTCGATGTAGTTGCTGGGTTTGATGGAGCTTTTGAATATGTCCTTCAAGGTGGGTAAAGTCCCTGCTCGTTTGTGAACGCTAGGGTTCTTGGGAGACACTTTCCATACTCGAATTTTTCCGTCTTGGTGGCCCGTAAATATCTTTTCACCGGCAATAACTATGGCCTTTACCAACCCGCTATTGGATTTGAACCCACTGAACTCCTTGAGATTCTTCCAGACTCGAATGTTCTTGCTATCAGAGCCGGTATAAAGAAGGTCTTTGGTGGCAGCCAGCGAGTAAATATGCCCTTCTTCCCTCACAAGCGAGCCAATAAGTGCATTTTGTGGCAAGGTGTCCTCCACTTGGGACCATGTGGTTTTGGTAAAAGGAGTACAGGTCTGGTTCCAGGGTGACATGGTCATAGGTGAACCCTCGCAGCTCATACGATTGGGGTCGAAAATAGCTGGGCTAACAGCAGAGGCACTGCTCTTTCGCATCATGAAATCATCGTCGCTTGTCTTGCTACTGGGTATGGAAGAAAGATTGGGATCTGAATGCATCATCATGTATTTGTCTGAATCTCCGAACATTGTGACACCTCCGTCTCTCATTCCAATCCGAAGACCAAAGAGAAGTTTAGCAGTGCCCGATTGAAATCCCAAAACAAGAAAATCAAATTAAGATTGAACAAAAAATGGCCTTTCAAAAAATGGTCGTACTAATTTTGAGGAGGAGAAGAGAGCGGTTGGGCGAGATTATGAAACAAGGAAAGGCGGGAGAGGGGAGGCGGAGGAGATATAAATATAGTAAACTGAGTAAACGGTTTATAATATTGGTGCAATCAGATCCTGACACGTGTTCGGACAGCACGTCATGTCTCTTCCTATTTTCTAAAAATAACTCTTTAACTTCTGCTGTTATTAGCTTGGAGATGTTAAGAATTGTATGGTTCCTGAATTAAAGACTATTTTGGGAAGTCTCTCTCCTCGTATTAATTTTTACCATTTACTATTTACCATTTACCCACGGCCGTTAAAAAAAAAAAGAAAATAACAAGTTACCTTGGTCTTGATTCTTAGAGGGTGAGGTCGACATACTGCTGTTTTATGTGGTTTTTGCTCTGTAATTTTTTACTTTTGAATCTAAATTTGGTTGTCATTTTTAGAGGACAGATTTATTATAATCAGTTGTATTTTTACAAATGTTTCGTAATTAAATATGAATTAACAGATTCTGTAAATAAAATTTATTAATTTTAAATGTATGTTAAAAAATAAATTAATTATATTTATAAATTCTTACAGTTCGTTGAAATGTCTTATAATTATTATATCATCTTAGACGTAGTTGTAAATAATTAAAAATAGTATAAATTTTTTATTTAAAAATAAAATAATATAAGACATTTTAAATTGATTTAATATTTTAAAACAAATTTCAAGATTTTTGTTTCCAACATACCATAAAGTTCTGTCCAAATTTTAAAATACATACGTGGGTGCTCAAGATTATTATATATACATATAATAATATTTGAATTAATTAGTTTAGTACTGAATAGACTCATTATTATATCTTACATGATACATATAGAAATATACTTTGAACTTAACTTCACCATATTATTTTAAAAAAATAAATGTATTAATTACTAAATTAAGTGGTAATTAATAGTCATGAAGAATTTTTTAATACCGATTAATCTAATATTTTAACAAAATATTCATATTGGAAAAAGTGAATTAATTAAGAGAACTTTTAGTTGGTGTTTTTTCGTTTTTTTTCTCCTAAAAGAAAAAAGAAAAAGAATGATGAAAAAAATACAAATATAGACCGAAAGATAGTTGAAGTATAAAGAGTATTGAAACCCTGAAATGTGTTTGATGGAGGAAGATGATTCCATTTTAGTTTCCTATTTTAGAGAGAATCATGCATCGTTTCTCAGTGCTTCGGCGTCGTTTAAGGCAAAGAGCAGAGACATAAGCGAGCAACTTAAAAGTTGTGACGCCCGTAGGCCATATATATTGTTGAACATCAAGAACATATAACTACAATAATTATTATTATGATGTCAACCATATACATATACATATACATATACATATAAAAGTTGTGAATTATATCATGTTATCGAATATTATATACGAAGCCATGTCTGTCCTGGGCCACCCCTAAGCCAATACTATAGAAGGTCGGTTGCATGCACGTACAGCTAATTAAGTAGTGATGTTTGTGAAGTGAGAGTGATTGGTAGATCCCCTGCTTTCACATTTTGAATACATGCATATATATTTAAACCCTCGTAACATTGACATGAATATAACATATATTCGTATACATACATATTTCAGAAAAAGAAAGTCCCATAAAATCTGTTTCTCTGAAACAATGCGTTTGTAGAATTCAAACGGCACCGCATGTATACAAATTTCTTTGCCCTGTTCATTAGGGTTTTCACCATTACCCTTGAAAACTAAAATAAGAACTTGCCAAAAAGACAATAAGGAAATGGGCGGTTAACATGGATGACTACGAAGATTAAAATGGGTTTGTCCAAACTGGCGAAGACAAAAATTGGCTACAGGCTTTTCCCAAATGCAAACCACTTAGACGAGACGCTATCTTTACTCGCCACGTGGACGGTTGAAAATTTTGCATTTCACACTTTCATCGGTAGTTCTGACATACGACAAAGGCGCCGCTCTCACCCAATTATAATCTGCCACGACTGCAGGACACCGTTACGCACCTGCCCTTTAATGCTAACTAACTCTCCACGTGGCTAATTCTAGCGACGTTATCAACATGGGACTGTGTCAATTGTTTTTAGAAGCGAGCATCGAAATAGAACCGGACGAAGATAGGACCGGTTTGATTAAATTATACTATTTTGAACCGAACCCAAATTAAATTTAAAAAGAGTTTTCCAATCAATGACCCATCAAATTCCTTTTAAATTGAAATGGGCGGTACTGTAGAAAACATTTTAATTTTTTTGGAACCATAGAAAATATATATTAGTATTTTAATATTTTATTTACATAATATATATTTGTTATTTTTATTTTTATTTTTAATATTAAAATATATTAATCGGTTCAAATTAGACGAGACTAAAATATTTGGTTCAAAAATTTCTGGATGGAATGCAGATTGGATATATATTATTCGGTCTCTGATCTAGTTCAAACCGAACTTGCTGGTCTGGTCCGGTACTCCTTTTTCTTCTCAAGCCCAGTCCATCAGCCAGACTTAATATTTTTAGTAATAATTTCATATTTAAAGAAAAAGGAATTTGAATTAATATTTATATTGAACAGAATAAATAAAACAATAGAATTAGAATAAATATTTTTAAATAATTTAAAATTATAGACAATTTGTATTAAAAAAAATATGTAATGCTGTATTTAAGGAGTTAATAATTTGTTCTTTTAAATTTTATATAGTTTTGATCACTTCAACATTTACTATTAATCTTATAATTAATATGATTAATTAAATATAACGTTACATCCTGTGTTCTTTTTCAATAAATTATTTTTTGTTAAGGTATTTTTTCACCCTTAAACAGTAAAGAGTAGACGTAAGTGGGAGCTCATCTCATCACCAGCAAAATCCGGGGATCTGAAAACCGAAACCTGGAAGTACCACGTCCAATTTATATGTAAAAACTTTAAATTAAGTACACGTACATATGGGCGTTCGTGTGTGTGTTTATATATATATATATATATATATATATGTAGACTGCAGTTGGCGACATTAATACTTAATAGCCGTCGAGAGTGGGTGGTAGACGAGGAGTCACGAGAACTTGTAAAGGCGTGGCTCTTGGAATGGTCAAACCTGGGCTCTCGCTCATGTCAACAGGCTGACCAAACGGCGTCGTAAAATCAAATGCATGAAGAAGACGTGCAAGTCGGAGGTGTAGAACTTGGAGAGCAAATGATGCTACTGGGCACGACCGTCTTCCAGATCCAAATGGGATTAGCTCAGATTGTTGACACCTAACATCACAATCAGCGCGGTTTAATGTTAAAAATCTCTCTGGTTTGAACTCGTTTGGATTTTCCCAAACGCTTGGATCCCTTTGAATCTTCCACACATTCACTACCAGACGGGTACCCGCAGGAATTGAGTGGCCATTGATGCTGCAATCATCCATGGCTTCTCTTGGTCGCAGCAGCGGACCAGCTGGATATAGCCGAAGAGTTTCTTTAATGATAGCCTGAAGATACACCAGCTTTTTAATGTCTGCCTCCTCAACTTGCCGTTCTCTGCCGACATGATTCTCGATTTCATCTTGTGCGTTTTTTAGGATTGATAGGTTTTTCAGGAGCAAGGAGATAGCCCATGCAAGTGTCCCAGCTGTGGTATCACTGCCTCCAAGAATAATATATATGTATATCACAACAATTATAATCTTAATGAATTTATAAGTAGTTTAATAACTATATAGATGAATAATTATACCAGGCAGGTAGATTTGATACTAGTATTAGCATCATATTGAAGATCAGAAAATTTCCCTTCTTCTTCAAGTGAAAGCATTACATCAATGAAGTCTTTATTAGTTTCAGCAGCATTCCTCCGCTCTGAAATTCTTCTGCGACGATGTTCCTCCAACCAGGTTTCAAGTATGGCATCCGGCTCTTTGGCTGTCTTCTTCATCGCCTTTTCATGTCCCTGAAAATCCAAGAAACCAAGAAATGGAAGTGCATCTGAAATAACAAATATTCCAATCAGATGAAAGAACTCATTGGTCGCCTTCTGGCATCGCCTCGCCTCCTCATCCTCACAACCAGCAGTCGTCGATGCACCAAAATAACTTTTTCCAGCCACCATTCTCGCCACAATATTGAGCGTTATGTCTTCTAACCACTGTTTTAGGTAAACCAAAACACGGTTATTACTCTTAGCCATTGAACTACACAGCTCTTTTACACCCATCTCAATTTCAGAAACCCAAACATGCTTGAACATCTCCAACCTACGATTGGAGAGAAGCTCAAGCGTTGCAATTTTGCGCATCTCACGCCAGAATGAGCTGTAGGGTGCAAATCCAAACACAGCATAGTTATAGCCCATGTGCTTGGCTGCACCTGTAGTCGGCCGTGAAGCTAGAGCCTTATCATTAATGGTGAAGCATTCTTTCGCTACTTCCCAACTACTGACCACAATTGCACGGCGATAGCCTAAGCGGATATTGAAGGCTGGCCCGTATTTATCCGCCATTGCTCCCAATGTTCGATACAGAAGTTGGTCAGTGCCACCCAACAAGCGCAGATGGCCAATAATTGGCCAAACCCCGGCTGGTTCCGGAGCCTCTCTGTTCTTGACATCTTTATAGTTTGTCTTTAGTTTGCTTCTGATGAACAAAAGAATTAGGTAAAAACCCACAGCGGCGAGTGAGATACCCATAGCGTTTGATAGGAAACGAACAGATGAGTGGAAGTGCATTAATTTCCAATCAATTTATAAGTTCATGTCCATGCAGCTTCCACCTGAATCCAACAAATGCATGAAGCACACCAGAGAGGCGTTTAAAATTTACACGTCAAGCGGTTAAAAAATCAACATGGAAAAATACTATGAGAGGAAAATTAAAAGGAAGACGATCACTTCCATGAAGCTTGAGCGTTCAATAAATAATATTGAGTTAAGCAGCCGTCTGGGGAAGAAATGATACATATATCATCATGCATCTCGCAAGGATCATGCCGCATTTCCTTTAAATATGATAAGATCCTTGTTAATGATTTAAGCATGTGGAGTGGATAATTTAATACGAGGTTCGTACTGATAATATAGCAAGTTCAGTTTTATATATCCTTAATTATCTTTAATTAATCCTTACCCTTTACTCTCTGCGATTGGCAGAGCGTGTGTAAATATTATAAATTTTTTTGACGTGATCAAGGGATAAATGGGCTGACATCGGACTGTAATACTATTGGGATTTCTGTGGCAATGGGCCGACATCGCACATATCCAATCACTCAATTATAGCAATGCGTACAACAAACAAAGCCTTTGAAATCCCAACACTTGGGCCCTTTTTTTTTAATTACCGGAGATGATACGAAGGCCCGAGTGGAAGACGTTACATGTTTTGGCCGAGAGCTACGTTTATTTCTCTACTAAAATGTGTGTAATAAGAGGGATAAAAAAAGTATAATGAACTGGGGGAGAGAAAACTGTAGGGAAAGGGAAAAGTAGAAAAGAAAAAGGTGGTGGTGAAAGAGATGGAAGTGGAAGATGGAGGTTTGTGTCTGTGAAAAAAAAAAAAAAAAAAAAAAAAAATCTTGGGAAAGATTTTGTGCAATGATGAACAGTGTTGAAATAAGAGAAATAACCAAAACCCAATTCTGAATTGTCTTCTCCATTTTTCAACGCTACTAGACAACCCAATATCATCACTCCCACCCCCTCGCACTTCCTCTTCGCCTCTCAATCTATATATATACATATACACACACACACACACACAAACGTACAATAAAACTTCAACAATATATATAATATATACATATGCATCTAAAAAGTATATATTAATGTGTGTGTGTGTGTATATATATATATTATTTATGGTATCAACCTCTGGCAGCAGTCCATTTACTAGTAGTACCCCAGGCTCTGGGGCAAAGATCAGATCAAGACATTATCTTTCTAAATCCAAATTATTTAATGTTTCTACCTACCTAATGTAAATAGTTAACTAAAATGAAAGTTGTAAAGATATAATACAAGATCATGTGCTCTGAAGAACTTTGAACTTTCAAAATTTTCATTTTTAATTTCCACATTTTATTTTAAACTTAACTATCAATTTCTGATTTTAATTTGTAACTTATGAATATTTATTGACGTAGAAATATTAAATATAATATTTGTAAACCCTAAAAAAAAAATAATAATTTGTACATCTGATGGATCTAACATCGGTAGGGTTTTAATTGATTAGAATTTTGCGAGTTGAATTAATTTCTGCACTCCCCTTCAGTACTTGTAGTTACAATAAATGTAAAAGGAGATCACAGTATCTGACTGGTCAGTACAACTTGAATATTGCCTCTTAACAACCAAAACAAGATAATCGAATATGTGGGGGCCATTTCTTCTGCAAATTGGTACTACTGGAAGACGATACATACATCGCATATATATATTTATATACATATATGAGAACCGTTGATGTTAATAAATTTTTTTAAAAAAATTATTAATTACTTATAATTACTGGGTTAAATCTTTTATTTCGTAATTATAAAGCGGTGCATTGACACTTAATGGATAATCTTGGAGCACTTGAATAGACCTCTGCCATGTACGTACTTACCATTAGTGGGTTTCTTTTCACACAAGCATATCAGAAGATTACGAGTATGGAAACGTGTGTGTGTGTGTTCGTGTGTGTGTGTATGTATAGACAGACGCAGGACTTACAACAATTTACTATATGAGCAGAATATAATTAAGGGTAATTAAAATGGGGATGAGCAGCAACGCTATCGATATATCCAATAATAATCTGCAACGTCCATACAATAAATCATCCATAAGCAAGGACATGGGAGTCACAGAAGACAATATACCAGCTCAATTTGAAAGGCAAGGTGAAAATGATATCACACAAATTTCACATGCTCCAACCATAGACCCACCTGTTCATTACTTATATACACACATACATACACCTCAAAAACACAGACTCAGGACCATATATACATATAAATCCACTCCACAAAAAGTATCACATATGATATGCATAATATTGCATATCAGTTCCATGCACCAGGAAAATTATATAATGAACATGAAGCAAGCATATATATTCTTTTTAATTTTCATTCACAACCGTAGCCTGCATGCACCATTCGCTCTCTCTTCTTTCTAATTTCATAACCCAAAATTCAAAAGTTCAACTAGTTAGACATTAATTAATTTTCTCCAGGTTTTCAACCCCCTCCTCCCCCTCCCAGGGAAAAAAAAAAAAGAAAACAAGACTGAGGAGCAGGAAATATTATGTTAATTAATGGTGATTGAAGAGTTGAGAAGGGTTAGGTGATTAGAGGTTATCCATTTGCAAACTTGGTGATCCCAGGGTGAACTCTAAGTTAACAGACATATTTGATGGGGGAAAAGAGCTGCTACGATGTTCCCGTATATCCTTCATACTATCGGATAAAACCAGGACTGCCTCGTCTCGGTCGACCTATTAATGCAATTAATAAAATGAGTTATATATATTTTTAGTGATTGATGATATGTATATGTATCTATGTGTGTATATATACATATGTTAATATGATTTACCTTCAAATGAGAATGCGTCCAAGCATTTACTTGGGTAGATATGCACCTGCGATCATTTGTCTCCTCTGATGATGACCACGAAGTTCTGCTCAAAAGGAAACATTAATAATTGAAATGAGGAAAAGATGGCGGAAACAAAGATTCATCATCAATACGCACAGGGATAATCTCACATCTTCAATATTTAAATCAATTTTCTCAACAGTGTTTAACTAATAGCTTGAAAAAAAAAAAAAAAATCTTTCTCACGTGAGAATAAGATTTTTAAAATTATCACATTGACTCAAACCAAAAATAAAAGAACACAGAGGTAAAAGAAAGCATAATAAGCCGAGTGAGAGAAAACACACAGCTTCTGATTCCTGTACATCTTTTAAATAATAATCTAAAAACTTGTATAAAAAGACTAGAGTTTATTATCTGTATGATGAGAATCAACATGAAAAACAAGTAAGTGGAAGACAATGAGTCTAAACATTTCAGTTGTCTTTTAGCAAAATCGGTTGGTATTTGGTACGCAACGTCAATGGAGAAAATTTTAGTCTTCTTTTTTCGAGATTGGTTTGCTGTCAAGGTGTGATGCAGTCAGCGATATGTGTGTGTATATAATACCTATATATAGGTCATATAAGCTAGATGAGTGGAGGAGAATAGGAGAGACGCAGTTTAAAAGCCAAAATACTGGTTACTGGGGATGGATTAAAAAGAGCAGCATTGAGATTTGGAAGAAAACCCCTTGACTTTTAGTATGCATTGGGATCTATAATTTGAGATCTAACGGATGCGAGTCTATCGGACTTGTTGTTAAGTTCAGAGTACCTCAAAAATCAATGTACTTGACCCTCCTCCCATTTCATCTCACACCATTAACAATGACAGACACCACCTTGGACCGGAAGAGTCCATAACCAAAGCATTTTGTGTTTATGCGTGCCTGTGTATTTAAACCACCATTATTAATTACTGTGTAACTCTTATATCTCGACACAACAACACCTATATACATATATACATACATGTAACGGGTTTCTCTTTTTTTCTTTTTCTTTTCAAGTTTGCTGTGTATTAATGGATTAAAACCACCGTAGTTAGAAAATTTTGGTAGTAGAGTAAAATGGAAGTGCTTTTGATTAAGTGTAATAATATATAACCTTTGGGTTTTTTGTGGAGTAGGTATTGGTGATGTTGGTGGTGGGTTGATATGATGAGCTGCTCCGCAAGAGACGCCTCCATCCACATCAACAATCCCTGTTCTCTGGTTCAAACCCTGCCCTTGACCTGCAGAATCAATCATACATTTGTTTTTGCTTTATCAGACACCAAACAAAAAATTCACATGCTCCAATCTCAAACTCATTTTGGTTTTTACTTGGGAACTAAACAAAATACTAGATGATGAAAATGGTAAGAAAACTTCTGTGTAAACCAAGCTCTCAAACAAAGAGAATAATATAACGGAAGAGAAATACATATATTTATATAGAAGAATTAGAGAGACACAACATAATTACCTGATCCTTTGTCAGTGCTCTTCACTGTTCTATACATCTGCATGAACAAACACGCAGAAAAATTAGGAAACAAAAAAGTCTACATTGCTAACATTACTCTCTAGATGCCCTTTTGTCCTCATCCTTTCATCTCTCATTCCCCACCACAATTGGATCGATCATAGAGAAACAAAACTAGAATACGATAAAAACAGTCTTCGAATGATAAAAGCATAGGTATATAAATTCAAAGCTTTGGGCGATTGCACACAGTAACCCCACCTGCAAGTGACTCTTCACGTGAGCTAGGGTTAGATCCTTCACATTCATCAACTCTAACACTGATTTTGGCGTTGCCCCTGTAACAGTATATATTCACCAAATTAGTTATTCTTTTCCGGACAAGAATCTTTTCCAACCGGTTCGCTTTTTCTGGACAAGAATCATTTGTCACCGAATGGAAAGTAAACAAGAAACATATATCTGCAGACTAAATAAAGTAAGAAGTTTGAGATTCCTGTGCTATTACTTTCATGACCCCCAAGAAGCTGCACTGCGTGAACAAAATGGGCATGGAGAGTGGTGGTCCATCTCATCCTTGGAGCTCTGATGCTTCGTTTCGCTCCACCAACCATTCTTGCATTTCTCTTGAAATCACGGGCGTAGATTTGAGGCTGATACTGGTGGTGGTGATGATTATTGGGTCTTGGCAGTTGCACTTGCTGTGGAGCCATTTCAAACCCTAAACTCAATGAGGGCTCACCGTGGTGGAGTTTGTAACAGCTACTGTCTGGGTTAAAGAAGCCATTTTCTTGGCTTAAATCGCTGCCGCTGCTGGCGGAATCGGCTGTGGTGGAGCTCCTGTCGCTGCTGCTGAGGGGTTTCGTATTAAACCCATCAAAACCCATTTGCTTGGCATCAGAATCAGAGAGCGAGGGCGGGCAGATCTGCAAGGAGAGATCAGGCAAAGGAGTAGCTGTCGTAGTGAGAGCGTTGGAAGTTGAGAACATGATGAGGATGAGGCAAAGGCCTCCGAGTGAGTTAATTGGTAAAGGGAAAAGGGAAAAGAGAAAAAGAAAAAGTAGATAGCAGGGATGATCAAGTAGGAGTAGTAGTGATTATATCATGAGTGGGTTATGATTTGCATGATTGTTAAAGAAGAAGCTGAGAAGATCGGGAGGTGGAGGAAGAAAGGTAGATAGGATTCTTCAATAGAATAGGTAATAGGGTTGAAAGAAAAATCAGAAAAGAGAGAGCTGGCAGTGAGATAAGTAAATTAAAAAGGAAAAGATAAGAGAGAGAAATATAAGAAGAAGGAGAAGGAGAAGAAGAAAGTAGTAATGGGGATGAGATAAATAAGGTTAAGTGAAAAGGGAATGGAGAGTGAATTGGGTTTTCTGCAAAGGAATGGTTGGAAGTCGAGAAAACAAAAGGAGTAATGCTGTTGCGGAATATTTTACTCTCGACTACTACGTTGATGGATGGCGACATTTTTAAATTCTCTACTCCTACTATAATTATTTTTATAATTATTATTTCTTTTTTCCTTCTTCTTCTTCAAATAGAATATTCCCGTTTTATTTCGTGGACGAGGATTGACTGCCACCCCAAAAATATCCCTCTTCAAACCCTATATTTAATTCCCTAACCTTCCATGCACATCAACCTTCTTCTCTCCTTTGCTTTTCAGCTTTTCCCCCCCCTATATACATGTATACCTATTTCCCAAGACAAACAATTTTTTGTATACATACACACACATCAATTTAACCCACTACTCTTTTTCTTCGGCTTTTCCATCTAATCGTTGCAAATTAATTTTCAAATAATCAAGTTGACGTCCCTATATATATATAAAAAAGCAAACCCATATTTTCTTACCTTCAAATTAATTTAATTATTCCATATGCTTAATTAAAAACAATGTCACACGTTTCTTGTATTTTTCAATGTTATTTGCATTGCACGAAGCATATGAAGTGTGACAAACTCTTTATTATTAATTATCTCATCCCACTCCTTACTTTGTTATATACATATATATATACACACACACAAATAAGAAGCTAATTAAGTTGGCTTAAACCGACCATTGACAGCTCCAGGAGCGGATCAAGTGTGGGTTTGTATATATAAGCGTTGAAGTGTTAGGTCCTGCTAGCGAAATAGCAGAGTGCCAATAAGAATCGAGCTGTACACGTGCGATGAGAAATAGAGATTGGTGGGAAGGAATACACCCACACACACACGTATATATATATATATAATTATATAAAAATATAAACATGTATTAATAAGTTAATGAAGAGAGAAGCAGTGTCAGAATCTTGGCTGGGGTGTCCGGCGACACCAGGATCGACCCCCACATGCCCTCTCTCTCTCTCTCTCTCTCTCAGACATTTGGATCAAGAAAAAAAAAAAAAGAAAACTTAAAAAACGTAAATAAGGTATTTTGATTTTCGGACAGAGAAAGGGAATATAGATAGCTTCTTGGCTGAATGAAACCCCAATATTCCCTCTCCGTAAGGGAGAAAACGCATGTGTGGAGCGTAGAAAGAGACCATATTCCTCGGCGTCAACAAGGGGGTTGGCGTCACGTGAGCTCAAGCTTGTCTAGGTCTTAAGCTCTTGTTTTGTTTTCTTCTCTTGTTCTTATTTCCTCCCACTTCATCTCCTTTAATTTTGCCGCATCTTATTATTTCTTTATGTTCCAACTATGCTCGCAACCCCATGGCCTTTTTGTTTTTTTTAAAACTTAAGTAATTAGTAGATTTCGGAGGCAGAGTCAGCGCCTGATGCGCTCTAGATTCTCCGGGAATTGTGAATTTTTTATCATCTTCTCATAATTTAATCTGGGTGCTAATTAATTGTTTTGGTGGGATAATATCCGGTCAACATGTCTCTCTTCAAATGTTTCGTGCCATTTCATATTCCATATTCCATGTGTTTGTCTTTTAACGACTATTATTTCCAATTCTATAATTATTCAAACATATATATATATATATATTAAACCTAATTATTGTCCTGCCAACTCCCACATCCTTTTCTTTTTTTTCCCTCCATTTTCGTTTTAGATAATTAAGAGTGCGGGTGAACCAAGATTAACAAATGGCACACTCCCTTTTGGTTTTGGACTATGTTTATGGTTAATATTTCTAATCTTGTTTTATTGAGCATAAACATCAAGTATCTAAATTTAAACTGAGTGTAATGTATATACCATTACCAAGTAAGATAAAAAATCCAAGTAAAATTTAAAATGGTCTTGTATTCATTTATATCTTGTTATTTGAGGTTGGCTATATTTAGTTCCAATTAAAAAGAATAACAATCATCCAAAGTTCTAAAATGCTAGTCAAACTTATGTTATCATGTATATATAAGTTTTTCTCAAATTAAAACATGTACTAATTTTCTTTTTTTTTTTTTTTTGCAAAATTTTCAATTGTTAAATCTATTTTTTATGTTTATTAAAAATTGAGAAAAATCAGACATTCATAACCACTGATGAAGGATTCCTAAAAAAGTTAAAGGATTCATAATCTATTTTAGAAATCAAATGGATTCCACTCGATGAAGGTAATCAAAAAAGAAAAAGGATCGGGTCGAAACTTGACCCTTTTAAAATTTTGAGTATAATTACTCTTTCGAGAACACAATACGATAAAATTTTGTAAGCTGTGTTTCAATTTTAAACTGGTCACTACTTGTCAACTAAAAATTAATTTTTTTTTTTATAAAATGCATATTCATACTTAATACATTCCTGCAAATAAAACCCTAGTAATGAAATTTACAGTCCCATTATTATTTGGGTTCTAACTCATTTCTCTTAAAACAAGTATTAAATGCTACTACCTTTTAAAGAAGAAAAAAAAGGCTCTAAGTACCTTAATTAAATGTTTAAGATAAAAATACTTATATAGGCTATAATAATAATTAATGAGGCTAGAGACCAGGCATTATTAATTAATTAAAGAGTATTGCCAGGTCCAGCTAATATAATAGAATGTCCTCCAAGAGTCAACAACCACTCTAGAAACCTTTTGGGCTCCATCAATGTTACCCCTATATACTAGTGGTAGATTAATATAAGATTATACATTAATTTATGTTTAGGCAAAGCAAACCTAATCAAGTGTTGCAAATAATATAATATATATATATATATATAAATAGGGTTTGGAAACCAAGTAGAAGTGAGTGATGATAATAAACATTAGTTGTAGTAATTGGCTGATGATTAAAAATTTAAAATTATATAAAATGGAAGAATATTACTTGGTGGTGGTGATTCGTGCATCACATGTTGCTTAGAGATTTGAATTAAGATGTTTACCCTCTTCCCCTGAAGCTGCAGAGAGAGAGAGGAGATGAAGACAAAATAGAAAGGAAGGAATCACCGAAATCAACCCCGTTTAGGCTGACGTGAATCACTACATCGTTTTTCATGCTGTCTGATTTCTTTTTCTTTTTTTTTTTTTTTCTAATCTTCATCTGCATGTCACACACACACACACACATATGTATATATGTGTATATATTATTGTAATATAAAACCAACACATGCATGATCATCATCATCATCCTCATCATCCTATAATCATTACGGTAAATAAATCAGGTAACTCCACAGTCAAAACGCAAATCAAGCCCCAGTAAAAAGGTCCAATAATTGATCGATTGTAAACATGACTTAAAAAAGTTGCCAGGTTACCATTTACACACTTTTGGAGAAACATAATTTGACAGCAACAATTTTTATTTATTACTGCAATTTTTTTTTTTTGTACATAAAGGAAAGTTTCAGTGGGCATCAATGGCTTAGGCCAGCTTTGCCAGTTCCTGCAGACGAAAGCATTTCCGTTCTCCATTCTCCAATATAAATGTACAGGTCAATTTGCTAAATGAAGAAAATTTCAAGTACTGGGGCATGAAGTCACACCATACGTAGTTTGTTTTTCTTGAATATTGTATACATACATATATCACAAACAAAAGAATTAACAGTAATTGTTTTAGTATTTTACGCAGATTGAAATGATGACCAATAATAAGGTTCAAATATGAGATGATAGCCACATTTATAGCGTTGCATATATAGTACAATAATTTAATGTAGAAAAAGAGGTGGGATATGTTGACTTCGCCGAGAGTCATTTATCTTCTTTCTTTTCTTTTTTATGATGTGTATATGTATGTATGTATGTATGTAAACATGCATGTGTCCCAATCTGTGTCATTCCCTACCTTCTAAAGGAAATGCTCTCAGTCTCTTTATGACGTCATAATGTATTTGGAGTTGAAGATAAAAAAGAAATACAGAGTCGCAGCTATGGCCTCGGGTGACAGTGAAAGGGGATATATATATATATATGTATGTATGTATGTATATGCATGTACATTGTTGATCAAACAACGTCGTTGATTAAGTTTTGGAGTTGGATCACATGACCCACATTCATGTGCCTGCTCTGCTATCAGTTGTATTTGTTGGGATTTTCACAGTGCCCACTCAAACATGCTCAAATACTAATCCAATAAAATTATTACCAAATGTTATGTATGCAATTATTGTACTTACTTGCTAGCTAGTCAATGTGTCACAACATATTTATGTATAACATGTGTAATATAGTTAGCTTTATAAAGAGGTGTAGGCAAGCGTATCATCTTCCTTTTCCTCTCAGCTGGTGTATCTATAGAATTCTCTCGCTCTCTCTCTCTCACTCTCTCTATATATATATATATATATTTATATGGAATTGCTTAGGTTTTAATGGTGCAGATTAAAATCAATGGGGGTGAGTACAGCCCCAGCTCATATATTATTTGGTATAATTTCTGTGGTTTGACACTGTTGTCTCCAGTGCGTACTACTGTGGTCTCTCATTTTCCCCATAGTTGTCGCTTGGACCACCAGCTCCAGATGTGCATTTTCACACTGCCTCTCCCTAATTCTCATCTCTTCTTTTCTTTTGACGTTTTCCTACATTTGCCAGGAAAGCAAGAATGCCCTTTTTCGCCTGTCCATTCTCAAACTCTGCATTAATCGTTACATTTATATATATATATATATATGTGTATATGTTTCAAGCTCTACACTCTCCCCATACGTACATATATACACCTACATGTGCTTGTGTCAACATCATCAACCGCATAAATCTTCATACATAAATATATACACCTATATGGATGTTCCATATATATGCATATCACGCGTTTATATATAAGATGATTGCGTTAATCTGAAGAAATTTATACGCTAATAAGATTCACTCCAAATTATTTACTATGGAGAAACTATTAATTAATACTGATTGGAACCCCATATATATATCAATTTTTTTTTTAAAAAAAGGTTCTATATACGTATGCTACTGATTTTCGAAATATGTGTATTTATTTTTAACAGATACTTATGGATATTATATGTATATATATATATATATATATATATAGCACGATAGATGATAATAAGGTCAGTGCAAATTAAAGAATATGCATATGGGGTTTGATGGATTGCAATTGGTGGGTTTGGGGAGGAAAAAACAAGCAGAGAAAGTTAAATTTATAGGACAGCATTCGCATTAAATAGGTGCAGAATATCATCCAAGTGTAGCACAGAAAATAAATTTGAGGCCCATGAGAGTAAATAATTATATTATATATACATACATATATAATGAGTAGAGCATGTGAGGACATGGAGAAAAGGATCAGATGAACGGTCAAACATCCAAAAAAATAAAATGATTCAATCTGCAGGTTTCATCAGCTCAGCTGCGGAGATAATAAGACACTACTGAAATCTGATGAGATATCTTTCTTACTCATGAACTTTTTTCTTTGGTTAAAATTTATATTTTTACATAATCATATATATATATATGTGTGTGTGTGTGTGTTTGTGTATAAGTAAGACTCCAAATCAACAACACTCACTTCTAATGACAAAATTTTAAAAATATAAAATAGTGTAAGTGTTATTCAAAAATTATAATCATCTATTTATATCGCTATATTTTTATATTACTTGAAATTATAAAGGTGGTATCCACACGTATTAAACTCCTAATTAAATTCGATGTATTAAAATTCAATTTTGTTCAACCGTATTTAATCAATTTTAAATTAGATTCGCAAATTAATAACTTGTTATGCACAAATTCATTTACCGAAAAAACCCAACATATATATCAGCAAAGAAAACTATTTCGATTGCTATTAATTAGCAGCTATAAGCTTTTAAGTTACAGGTAAAACGTTCCATAATCTTCCCAAACTTTATATATATTTTTTTAATGGATGAAAATTTGTAACCTGATCTTATTAGGGTCTACGGGATTTGAGACTCGTATCATGGTAGTCTCGTATCATATATTAAAATAAATTTAACTCCACTTAAAATTATGTAAAAATTATAAAGAATTTACACGATTCCCCAATTACAATTTGTATTAAAATAGTTTGAAATATCAATTCTTATAATTTTATAAAGATATTTAAGGAAATGTTAATAAAAATAACTAAACTTTAAATAAATTATGAAATAATAAACATTTTTTTAGGCACAGAGAGAGAGAGAGAACAAGCTGATGGACAACCTAACTGCGGGCCTATAGAGTCGTTGCAAGTCCGACGATCCGGGTCAGCCAGTCATAGTGACAAGTTAATATGATAATTTGATCCAGTCCAATTTGATTACTGGGTCGTACTAATCCTATTGAAACCCACGTACAATAGAACCCGACCCGTAATCCATCCGGCCTTTATTAAATTTCTGATGTCATACAAATCAGCCTCTGTATTGCTGCTTCTTACTCACTCTCGTCCGGTGTCGCTGGATCTTAAGATTCCCAGTTGTAGACGAAGAGAAGAGAAGAGAATGACAGTCTTTCACTTCTTCAATTGCGCCATTCTGACCTTCGGTCCTCATGCCGTATACTATTCCGCAACGCCCCTGTACGTCCTTTATTTTTCTTTTGTTATCGTTTCAATTCCCATCAGTTCTTTTCTTATTTATCTTCCTTTAATTCTTTCTTTCTGTTTCTTTATCGTTGAAGTTTGTAATTATCTTTCCTATTCGATCTGACAACAAATATCAACCTCTTAATTTGACATACAACCGTTTAATATCTGTTTGTACTACACTGTAATCTGCAGGACTCTCATGTTTTTCAATTGGGCTAAAAGTAGATTTTTTAATTGTTTTATCTTTAGGTGTTCTTTGGACAGGGGGGTTTCATTAGGAATAGTTAAAGCTCACACACACACATATATATATATATATATATATATGCATTCAATTGATTGAGAATCTGGTTTGTCCCATAGTTTGAAGATGCTTTGATGACTTAGGGTTGTCAACTTGGGTTTTGAGCTGATGCTTACCCCATATGGCT